GGGGTACGGGGTGGGGGGCTGGAGCAGCGAGGCCCGCGGTGCGGAATGATCGAGGCTGCCTGATGCGCGGTGGCTTTGCTGGTGCCCTTGCTGGTGCCCCTGCCCCCAGGTCCTCAGTGCACCCTGCCACTCAGCTGCCCCGTGCGCCTCCCCTCCTCAGAGCCCCTCTGCTGACTGAGGAGCCGTCTGTCTGCTGTTCCGGCCCATGCAGCTTGTTCTCATCGACCGTTTACTGAGTTTTCACTTTTCATTTTAACAATCGCCCCTTAAAAACTGTCAAGGACTCTGCCTGCTCCTTTCCAGCCTCCTTTTCTCTCACAGGGGCCTGTCCTGTCCATTTCCTGGTTTGTTCCCAGCCCCCTGTGGGGCTCGGGGGCGAATTCCATGGGTCGTTAAGCCTGATTCCTCCACTAGCAGTCCGCTTGGGTGTCGGCCCGGTCCGTTGAGTGTGTGGCCCTTGGCACACTCACTGACTGTCCGCCGTGACTGGACCTTGAGCTCTGAAGCTCCTGGAAGCTCTGCCCAAGGCACTGGCCTGGGGCAGGGGACTTAGCACCAGTAAGAGCGGTAGTGGGGAAGCAGCGCCCCCGGGGATGAGCCTGGACTGCACGGGACATGGCCTGAGGGACACAGAGAACCTTACCCTGACCCTCAGGCCCAGAGGGGCCCGGGCAGCTGGGCTCCACACAGCCTCGCCTCCCTCACGCCCCCGCTCAGGCCTCCGCTCGCCCCCCCGCCCCCCAGGAGCCACCTCTCGTCAAGGTCTCACTTCCTTGGCCCTCCTTCTCTGGACAGCATCCCTGGCTCCATCGACACCTCTCCACCTGCTCGGTGCTCCCACCTCCATCTGGAAGACGTGGCTGTCTCCAACATGGGGCCCTCAGCCCGTGTGGAGGTCGTGCTGTCGTCTGCCCAAACCCCCTTTGCCAAGCACCCGGCGGGCGTGGCCGGGCAGCCCATGTGAACGGAAGGGGTACGTGGCCCCGTCCGTCCAAATGCAGTGCGTTCATCTGTGGCAAGGTGCCCTGAGCGACCAGGTGTCCCTGAGGACCCGGTGACGGGAGGACCCCCACCCCACTGCCGGTCAGAAGTGGACAAGAGGAATTCATGAAAAATAAACCTTTGCGGTTATACGTGTTGGTGTCTGAGGTTCGTTTGCCACCGGAGCACACCTTAGGGTCTGTGGCATAGAAACTGGCCCTGGGCAGAGGCAGCTCTAACACCACGGTACGTGGGACGCCGGCCGAGGCCCCTTCCAAGAAGCGGGGATGCTGGCGAGTTGTGGCATGCGGCGTGAGACATCTGGGAGAGCCCAGCTGTGATGACTCACAAGGCAGATGATGTCTGAAACACCTCGGTCTGGAGAGGCTGGGACACAGCAGCACGTGCTGCTCGCCAGCTGCATGTGGCGAGACCAAGGAGTGGGCTGCGAAGGATTTGGGGTTGCAAGAGGGAAGGAAAGGGGTTGAGAAAGGCCAGGGGTGCGGGTGCGGGGCCCGCGGGCTGAGTGCATGCCACTTGCCCCAGCGGGCGGGGCGGGGCCAGGCAGACTGTCAAGGACATCGCGGGGACGGCCACCACACGTTACGGCGGCTCGGAGCTGCTTCTGAGCTTTCCGAAGGCTAGCAGAGTGAAGCCCCTCTCAGCAGTGACCCAGGAGGCCCCCAGAGCTGGAACCGAGCATTTGCGGAGATGAATTGCCAAAGACACCCTGAGCCCGGGACTAAAACGTTTGTGCCTAGAGACCTGAATGCAGCCTTGTGAGGTGGGGTGGGGCGGGGCGGGGTGGTGGAGCAGCTCAGCCTCCGAGGGCTCCTTGGTCTGTGCCGTGTTCAGGGGTGGCCAAGAAGACAGGGCGAGGACAGGCCCCCTGGACTGGGGCCCTTGCAGCACCTGCCTGGCGGGGTCCAGGCGTGAGCTTGTGCCATGACTGAGTGCGGACGGGGCCATCTCCTGGGGAGGGGCGGTCTTGAGTGCAGGAGAGTCAATGGGATAGCTGGTGACCTGAGGTCTGGCCATGGCGGCACCGGGGTTGCTGGCCCACTGCTGGTCCTGCGGGGCTCTGTGCCTGGGTCTGGCCAGTGGCTTGGGTAACGTGCCACTTCCAACCAGAGCATGTCATCCGGGCATAAGGCCCTGCTGGCCTCAGCCCGAATGACCATGGGGAGCGGAGCCTGGCGGCCACCTTGCATCAGCTCACTGGCTGCATCACTCCCCTGCCAGCCCAGCTGTCCTTCATGGGAACACCGAGTCCCTGCCCCTCAGTGCCTAAGCCCACCTGCACCCAGCTGCCACCGCACCTACGCTGGTGGCCGTCCAAGCCCCTCTGGACCCTCCGAGACAGAGCGCACCCCACCACTCAGCCCTGCCTTCACCAGTTTGGGACGGGGGACCACCACTGAGGAAGTCCCCGAGTGAGGGGGCTGACGAGCGGCTTCCTTTGCTTTGGTGTTCGAGGGTCCTGGCTGAGGCGCTGGGAAGGGCAGTGTGGCCTGCCATTGGTCCTCAGAGCCCCGGGCGGCAGGGCGAAGCTGGGATGGCCAGGAGCGGCTGGAGTGTGGAGGAAGACCCTCGGCCGTGCAGCATGTCTCTGCCTCTGGCCAGGGGACCATGTGTCGGAGGACATGCTGTGACCAGCTGCCAGCCCCACCCCAAAGCAGCCGGGCAGACGCAGAGGACAGGAGTTGGGAGGAACAGGCTTGGAGGTCGCTTTCAGAGTGGAGGTTTAATGGGACAATCGTGGTGACCCTGTGGCAGTGGTCCACTGGGTGGCCCAGCTCTGACCACTGGGGTCCCCAGGCCTGTCCCAGCATGGTGGCCTACGAAGAGCACTAGCACCACCTGCCCTTCCCCTGGGCTCCCACTGAAGCGTCCCAGGGCAGCCCTGAGGCAGGCGTCTGGTCCTGCTCCCAGAGCCAGGACCCCGTGTTCCCTGAGGGGCGAAGGCTTTCCGGGGTCCCTCCCCAGGGACGTCCACCCTCCTCGATGTCCCCTGCCCCCACACGGAGGGCACATCTGCATCCTCGTTCTTCTGCCAGGGGCCAACCCCAGAGGCAGGGTGCGGGGCTCCGCGGGGAGGAGGGACGCAGTCGGGCAGCACGGCCCCGGCCTCCGGCGGATGTAAGGCACAGTGTGGTGGTCGCCAGCGGACAGCGGGGCCGTCACGCCAGGGGCAGCGCCCGGCAGTCAGTGTTGAGACAGGAGGGCGTGGTGTGCGCCGGCCACTCGGGGGCCTGCAGTGCAAGACAGCTGAGAGGTCGAGGTCCACGGGGCTCGGCTGGCCACAAAGGGTCCCTGGGAGAGCCCGCAGGGGGCGTGGAGGCCCGGGTGGAGCTCGTGGCCGGAGAGACACGCAGTCATGGCAGGCCAGGGCCGCGGAAGGCACAGTGGTGGTGTCCGGGGGTTCAGGGCTAGGCAGACACGTTGACGTCCCTGAGGGAGATGGCGCTGCTGGGAGCCTCGTCCCCGAGCAGCAGGGCGGGCGGGTCGGCGTCTGTGTCCGCTCCGGCGCCACCCTGCTCAGCGCTGGGCCCCAGGCCCTGGGACAGGATCTGCTGGATGGTCCTGCGCAGGTTGGGGTGCAGCCGTCCCTGCGTCTGGTAGAAGACCTCCAGGGCGAAGGACTTGAGGGCACCGGTGCAGAGGTCCTCGTACAGCGGGATGGTATACATGCGGGACATCTGCGGGCAGGCGGGGCAGGCGTGGTCGCACGGCTGCACCCACGGTGCCGCTCACCCTACCTCCACGGGCCTCCCCCAGGGCCCGTCTCCAGAGGGCCTGGGCCAGGGACACTGGCGGGGGACAGGGTGGAGAGGCCGGGGACCCTCGGGCTCCAGGATGCGGACACACTGGTGCCCACGGCAGGAACCCAAAGGCCCACAGGCCCAGGGCCGGGCATGCTACACCCCCAGACTCTGCTTGTCCCCTCCAGACACGTGTCCCTAGGCTCTCCCCCTGGAGCACACGCCCTGCTGCCACATCCTCCCCGCCCTGCCCTCCGCGACAGCCAGTCTGCGCGGCCGGTCCCGGACGGCCGGTGGGGCAGGTGCAGCGGCCGCACCTGGCTCTCCAGGAAGCGCCGCACGCGGTGGAGGTCGGGATAGTAGTCGTTCCGGACCACGATCTGCAGCCAGCGGATGCGGATCTCGGCGTTCATGGAGTCCAGCAGGGAGGAGTAGCACTGTGACAGGCTGGTCACCACCTCTGCGGGGTGCAGCGCATCAGGCCCGGCAGGCACGCCCCCTCACCCGCCCCGCCCACCCCCTACCGCCGGGCAGCCTCGGGACCCACCCTGGGGCAGTGGGGACCCGTCCAGGAGCCGGTCCAGGAAGAGCGCCGTCTGGAAGGTCCTCCACTTAGAGATGTCGATGGCGCTGGCCGAGGCGGCGGCCTGGTCCAGGGGCTCGGCGGTCCACAGCCGGAACAGGGCCTCCACGGGCCGGGTCAGGCTGGAGCCCTGAGACAGGTCTGGCTCGGCCAGCGGTGGGCCGGTGGCGTTGAGCCAGCGCTCAAACTCCAGGCCTGTGGGGAGGCATGACCCTGGGCTGGGGAGGGGGCTGCCCGGGAGCCCCCAGCTCCAAGAGTGTCCCTTACAAGCTGCTCCTGGGCCCGGGAGCCGCCGGTGCAGGGGCAGTTCGGGGACGCTGGCGTCAGCTAGAGCACTCGCCACTTCAAGCCACTGGAGTGGCTTCTGTGAAGGGGACAGGGGGGCCGGAGGCTCGAGCTGCTGACTGAGGGACCCCACCTGCTCCCTACTCTGGGTACAAGATGAGCCACTTCAAGTGCAAGTTCAGGGCTAGGGGCAAAACCACTGTCCTGCTCTGAAGCCCTGGCTCTGGACAGCTGGGGGCCGGCTCTGCCCGCATCCCACCCCGCAAAGCCCAGCCACTCACAGGGCCACCGCACAGCCAGCCCGGCCTCACCTCTGCCCGCCAGCCTCTTCTACAGGTCAGACCCATCCCATCTCTCCTTCGGCCCCAAGCCCTTGGAACCCCTGGGACACCATGGCAGGTGTCGCACAAGCAGGCCGGCGGGCTTCGGCCAGTGGGGAGGCAAACCTCCCTCCACCAGCCAACCTTGTCCCGTGCCCTTTGCACGCACTGTCTCCATGGCCTACTTCCTGGCACTGCCTAATCAGCTCAGCTTGGCCTAAGTGTCACCTCCCCACGCCCATCCCCCAGAAGCCCCGGGACCCCATCTGGCTGAGAAGCACACCCTCCTCTCTGCTCCCATGGTCTCTCAGCCTGAGGCCCACACTGTCCAGCAAGGGTTGTCTGAAGGTAAGAGGAGCTTCCTCCAGGCAGAGGAGGCATCTCGTGCGGCAGCCCCCCTATGTACACCCGCTGCTCCCATAGCGGCCAGCAGGACGTGAGGGAGGCGGCGGGCCTCACCTGCCCGGCAGTCCACGCTCTGCTCCTTCAGCTCTGGGAAGAAGCTCAGGAAGGAGTCCAACAAGTCCTGGGCCACCACGCTGGTGAACTTGTACTTGTCCACGTAGGCCTGCAAGGGCAGGGTGGGGGCAGGGCTCAGCGGGCCTGGGGCTGGGCTCGGTGGGCCGGAGGCTGGGCCAGCAGGGGCAGGGGGGGC